TGGTTCCCTGACTCTTCCAACACCCAACTCATGTTTCACTTGTTTGAGACAGTTCTCTTACCTCCTGACATGGTGACCTAGCACTAGCACTTGCCTTGGTCAAAGGCGCGGCCCGGCCCCGCACCAGCCCAGCACCAGCCCAGCCAGCCCGGCCCAGCCCAGCCTAGCCCAGCCTTGCCCAGCCCAGCAAACATGAAAAGCAAAAAGCAAAACCTGCGTTTAAAATGTTTTGGTCCAAGCCCCGGCCCAAAACCTATACAATTTTACAAACCCTAAGCGCTGAAACCCTAAAGCCTGAACGCCAAAAAAACCAAGTCGGCAGCTCTGTCCCGACGCGCGAGGCTTGTGCTGCCAAGGGTGGGCCTCGCGCTTTCGTCCTGGGTGCAGTGCCGAAGATGTCCCGGCCCTGGCATAGCGTTTCGGGTCTTGGGATTTCGGGCTTTGGGCTCCAGGGTTAGAGATGGGGTTTAGATTATTTGGGCACCTAGATGCACCTAACCATTTCTGTCATTGGCAGCTTTCGACGTAAGTAGCTTAAACACAACAGTTCCTGTGCTTCGAACACGGCATTGGCGCATTGTAGACTGTGGCTACATACAGCTCCTGAAGCAAGATACGGACTCGACTACTCATGCACGAGTTCCACAGATGAGCCTTCCGAGACCCCTAAACCCTAAACCCTAAACCCTAAAGAATTGAAACACTAGGTGAGCCCTTTGACCTGCAGCCGCGACATGAAAACACTCGCCCTACACCCAGAGAACCCAATACACCTTAATTAAGGAATATACCTTAAATTATAGGGGCCTTATTATTATGATTTAAGGTATGTTCCTTAATTAAGGGGTATTGGGTTCTCTGGGCACCTCCTCAAGGACACAAGAATGTCCCTCGAACGACCCCTAAGTCCCTGACGCCTGTTCTTGAAAATCTCAGCAACAAATACCTTCAAACAACAACCTTCCGGGCTCCGGGAGATCGAACTTCGCTTTGGGGCCTTTCGGGTTTGGTGAGTGAGGTTTAGCTTTCGGGCAGGCGGAAACCCACGTTCCCAACCCAAAACTCGAAACCCTAAACCCTTAACCCTAAACCGTGGCTTTGAGCATCCGAGACTGCAACTGATGAGCCGCCTCGTCGATGAGGGCACAGGGCCCAGCCTGGGTTTTAGGCTTTTAGGGTTTAGGGTTTAGGCTTTAGGGTTTAGGATTGCTGCCCTGGGGGTTTAATTAAAGTTTAAGGCTTCAGGCTTTAGAGCTTAACACGATGCCCTTCCGCTGGCGGCCTGCGTCACACTCGTAAAACTCTCAGGTTTATGGGGCATGGGTGCGTTAATGCTGTTGTTACTGCTTGTCTTCGTTCTCACCAGCGCTGCTGCCTTCTTTGACCATTGTCGATGTTCGATGTCGGTAACATGGTAGCGGATGATGCTGTAGCATTGTGCCCGGCAGAGATACGGCACTCGAGGTACGCGGTGTAACATCACAACATTGACCTTTCGGATGCCAGGGTCTTCGCTTGACCTGTCCTGAAGATGCATCCTACAAGGTTGATCTAACACCCCATTCGTTTTGACACAATTCTGTCCATGGGCTTTAGGATATGTTCCGCAGGCCTTGTGAATGAAGTTGCCACACCATGCTGCCAAAAAGGCGAACTTCTATACAAGTTCTATAAACCTTGGAACCCTCAGCGATCAAACCCACAGGCCATGCCAGCATGGACGACGCGGTGGAAGACGGCATAGAGCTCGGGAAGCGAACCAAAAGCCCGAATGGAACACTCAAGGAGACAGAGGCTTCGTGTTGAGGGCCCAGAAGGAGTAGAAGCTTGAAGTTAAAGGCTCGCCTAGAGATCAAAGATCCTTCGGATGCAGGGAAGCAGTTGCAGATGCAGGGTTGAGCATTTTGTTTGGGGTTTTGCCATCAGGCTTTTAGGGCATGAAAGGTTGTCGCTTTTACCAGTGGTTCTAGTGCACCTGGTGGTCCCCGAAGCCCTAGAATCCTAAACGAGACGCGAAGATCGCAAGTGACCTCGGCAAAGGTGGCGACGATCCATGGCTGGGTAGCGGAACCGCTGGAGATGATCGAGCGGCCACCTCTCCAAGAGCCGGGACCCTGGATCATAGCCACGACCTAGTGAGAATAAGAATAGTACCAGTCACAAGAATAAAGAAATACTTGCACCCGCCTTCTGTGAGTCCCGCAAGTATAATTCCTAGGTTTGTTCATTGAGTTACCGCAACTTTCAAACTCCAAGTCTTGGCGTGAAAATCCGGAATCCCCTATACCTTGACCTAACCCCTACAGTCTAAACCGAAAGGTCAGCACAGGCTAAGCTCTTATGATTCCTGTTTCTGCGATCCCTTGCAAGTCCGGCTTCGCTTTTAACGCAAAACATGACGTGAACTCCTGAAAGCCCTTTTGCTACATGCAGTTCTGTGCCAGACCGGTCCCAATACCCTAAACCCTGAACCCTAAACCCTAAACCCTAAAACCCTAAACCCCTAAACCCTAAACCCTAAACCCCATGCTAAACCCTAAAACCCTAAACCCTAAACCCTAAACCCTAAAACCCTAAACCCTAAACCCTTAAGCCCTAAACCCTGAAACCTTAAAACCCTAAACCCTAAGCCCTTAAACCCTAAAGCCCTAAAACCTAAACCCTAAACCCTAAACCCCTAAACCCAAACCCCTAAACCCTAAACTCAAACAAAAAACCCTAAACCCCAAAGCTCTGCAGCCCTAGAGCCCTAAACGCACTAAACCCTA